AGGTTAGTTGAGAGTATATCATCTTTGCGACCAGTCACACAATTTCCCAGGTCGTTGATGGCTGTTGGTTTGTTCTGAGTAGCGTTTGAGATTGAATTTATACCATTTTGTATAATACCGTATAATACAGTATAAAAACCATATGAGCCTGTCTCAGTAGAAAACCCACTCTCAGGCCACAACCACAAATAATTTATTTAAGCTTAGCCAACTAGCTAGACATCTAGAGTATATGTTCAGTAGCTCAGAAAATATTATTTGTCACCTAATGACCTCTGTAGCACATTTTATACAGGAAAAACTGAAATTTTGAGATTTTCACTTTTTGCCATGTAAAATAAGTTATGCTCTCTGGGATTCTTGTGGTCAAAGAATTATTACAAAAAGTTTATTGCTTGCTACACTATTTCTGTTTCATGTTGGTTGTATATATTTTCAATAATTGTATTTCTAATGCTACTGTTACATGCAACCAATAGATTGTGCTTATATAATATGAGTGATATGTTATAATGGCTGTAGTATTAGTTAAACTACAGTGAAAATGTAATAAAAGGTATTGTTTTACTATGAGTATTAATTTAATGATTAATTAAACATTTACTCAAAGTTAATTTAACTTTTGTAGATATGATAATTCATGTCAAATTACCATAATACTACTTGCTTTCTGTAACAGAATTACCTGAGTGAATGATAGCTTGGTGATAGAGATCCAACAACCCTTCCCGACAGCTACAACAATGTCAGAGCTATTGATATCATCAAATAAGTCAGCCTCTAGCTGTAATTCAATTGCAAATGAAGAATATGTATGGGAAAATGAGACAGAGATTGAGTATGAATCTGAGTATGAAGAGATGGAAAGAATACATGGTATGTATACTATCCAATTATAAAAAGTGATTTTATACAGAAAACAAAGTCTTTAATCCTAGTTGTATTATTTATTACTAACTAATATAAAGATTTAGGAAATGAGAGTAGTAAATCCAATCAAAAGAGGATTGAGGAGTATATTAAACAGACATACTCAGAGCAACTAGGTAAGTATAGAGTTCACCTTTCTAAGATTGATGAGGCTTGTTCCTGCAAGAGAGAATGTCATAAACAGGCCTCTTATATGCAATGGTTCACTTGGATGAATACCAATTGTGCTATGGAAACAAAGCAGCGTAAGCTGCTAGCAAGTTGTCTTATGGCTAGTACTATGACATTTGCAAAGCCGTATGAAACTAGAAAATACAATAAGAGATCCTTCCTAGAAATGGAAGATGGTGAAATAGATTTAAGTAAGCATATGTACCAAAATAAGTATGTAATCTCCTTTGTTGGTCAAGTGTACTGTTCTTTTTTTTGCTGGTACTGGATTTTAGGCAAGTATCAAGTATGTGGATTATTAGGCTACTTGAAGTTAGGTAAGTCAATATGCCCTTCAATCCATAAGCATACTGCACAGCCCTCGAATAGAGGCTTGACTAAAGAAGCCAAGGATTGTATGGAATCATTCCTTTCACAGCTTGAAAATGATTATGGTGAGCCAGTAGCTACTAGGTCATATAAGCAATATAAACAGGATGGGACTATAATTACCAGAGTAGAGTTGGATAATCAATATTTACTTCTGTCCTTTTATTCTTTACATATTCTGCATGCTGAACTGAAAAAAACAAGTTTAGTAGGACAGTCTATATCGCTTGCCAGCATTGACCGATATTGGAAGAGAAGTAAAAGATTCAAGAAGATGCGTATCTGAATCCCTGCTAAAGACATTTGTGATCATTGTACAATTCTAAAAGGAAAGCTCCACTCTCCCGAGGGAACTAACAGAATGCAAGGTGAGATTGCATATGATGAGAAGCTAATACAAACTCAAAAGGAACTTGATCAGCATCGTAAGGAATATCAAGAGTGTAGAGACTTTTATGAGACCACTATCTTACAAGCGACATGCTATCCAAAGGATACAGCTTGCTATTCATTTGACTTCCAGCAGGTAGTTGAGATACCAAAGCTCCCTTAACAGCCTAGTTAATGGTACTTCTTTTCATCTTTTAAGTTGTATTCATTTGGAATTATCGATGAGAATAAGAAACATAATCAGCATCATCATCTACTATATACTGAGGCACAGTAACCAAAAGGTCCAAATCAGGTAGTATCTCTCCTTCACCTTTACTTGACATCTGGAGGTAAGATGAAGCCTCATATATATCTTTGGACAGATAATTGTGGAGGCCAAAATAAGAACAAGACAATGACAGCATATCTCTGCTGATTAGTCCAACAGGGGTAGACAGATAGTGTAGAACTCTGCTTTCAAGTTAAAGGTCACACTAGAAACTCAGTGGATCGTGGATTTGGAACAGCTAAGTACAATGATTCAAGAAAGAATATCTGGACTCCATAGGACTATAGTACAGCTGTGGCAAGTTCTACCTCCAATGATATGATTAAACCAGTTAATCTCTTGGATGATGGAGCAGATCATGGGGTATTCTTTGATTAGGAAGAATCACTTAGTTTACTCTTCAAGCCACTAAAAGGAATTCAAGGCTTTTATAACTTCCGTTTTCTTAAGGAATTCCGAGGTACCGTATTGGCAAAGAATCTTCCACTAGATGAGTAGAAGCGATTTGATCTTACTAAGTCAGGGATAACATTGAAACAAATGAGTACTCTGGCACCAAAAGAGCTGGAGCCAATTGGTTTGAAGCCTGAGAAGCGGTTTAATATATGGAGTAAGTACAGCTCTTATGCTCCAGAGCATATTCAATCTACATGGCTATATACTAAGCCCTCACATGATATTATTCAACAAGCTCAGTTAGTCAAAGTTGGAAGAATCAAGCAATCAGGTAATATAACTACATCCCACTCAGAGCCAACTACCAGAACCATAGGAGACATAGGAGATAAGCACAATGATAAAGCAGCTGTTTCAAGTATAGACGGTAAGAGTTCAACTAATATTCCAAAGAGAAGATGCCGTCCACCTGGGTCTAGAAACAAAAAGGCAAAGAAAAGTATGTAGTTTAGTTGGTTTTAAAAGGTTTAAGTTCATAGAATTGTAGCGGAAGTGTCAAACTAAATTGTACAGCATTCAAATAAATTATTGAATTTTTTTTGAGTGTATAGTAGTAGTTTAAAGTTTGTGTTATTATAAAACTAATGCTATCTCAAAATATTTTTTGCGGATCACTCTGGTTGCCATGTACTTTTCTGCTAACAATAACTTTGCCCAAGAGTGGGTTTTCTACTGAGACAGGCTCATATTTTATTATTAATGACATATTTTATTCAACATCTCAAAATTGGTACAAAATATTTCATCCAATGTCTAGTAGCATAGCTATTTAGAAAATGGGAAATACTACTTTCAATTGTAAAGTGCAAGGTTACAAATATGAGCTTGTTGCTATCTAGTCATTTTTCATCAACATTATTATACCTCAGTCTCTTCAATCCTCAAGCCTGAACACCAACTGATTGGCCCTTGTTATAATTTGATAAAAGGTTGTGCTCTACTATAGAAGATCTGATATAATCAGCTGTAGGTTCTTCTTCTAAGCTAATTTTACACCCAGTCTCTTCCCCATCTGTGTCTCTCTCTAAACTGTCAATAATAATATTAGTAATTATCATTGGATTAGGGCTTAGGGTTGAAGATGTAGGATAAAAATATTTAGGGCAGGTATGTATTGTATGTAAGGTATAAAATTTATTGTCAAAAATACCCTATTTTATTATAATATACGTATTTTTGAAAACCCTAGTTCTGAGGGAGCTGCATTTAGTATGGGCAGAGTATGGGCCCATTCACAAAAGGGGCAAGCCTTTGTTTCTCCTGGGACACTTTTTTCATACTAATGATTTCCAGGTTCGCGCCATTCTCCAGCTCAAATATTTTCTGGAGCAAACTGTGGATATCTTGTTTCAATCCAATTTTAAAGTTTGTCTTCTACAGGCTTCTTGATTTCCTCTGGAACTCGATTGTACGCGAAATCTTGTCCTCCCAGATTATGCTTTTCGTAGAGGTTCCTTGCCTCTGCCTATACCCAGCCCACCTGTGAAGGGGTTAATCGGCCATATGTAACTATTCAATGTAAATGTCTCTCAATAGTTTTCCCCTCTTTCCGGTCCCACTAGGCCCCCCCATTTACTCTCAACAGCTCCACCTCTCTTACCTTTATCTCATCCCCGGCTCTCTTACCAATTACCATGGCTTCGTCAACATCCCGAGGCCGTTCCGAATGTTCTGCAAGTATCCTCTCAACAACATCATCCGATATTCCACTCATAGGCTATAGGCTTCATTCTGCAAATACCGAGGAGCTTCAGGTGACCCTGGATGAGCTATAAAAAATGTGGATTGGTGGGTCTGGCGGATGGAAACATGGTCTATCGTGCCACAGGTAGTAGGAGGTGCAACAGATATTTATAAATACACATATCGATAAGGGCCTTTAGTGGAAAGCGCATCCTCTCAGTGACAGGGGTTCCCAGTCCTGTGTTAAGTTCAAGTGTTTCAACTTGATTAAAATACATCTTAACCAGCTCGTAGTATTTCTACTTGGGGTTTGCTCGCAGGTGACTTATTGCCCCAGGCGCCAATCCTCGGTGCAGCGCACCCCAAGATTTGGCTAGAACGCCTCGATCATAGACTGGGTCTGTCCAACGCCTTACAGTCCTTCGCTTTCCAAGGGAGATTATTAGGGAAACTCTAATTATGATATGATACTCGAATAATTGGGCTTTGTACTCGTACTGTAAGCTGTCTAGAAGGGGGCAGCCGCTCCCCCCACGCACAATGGTGATATGCGTATCAGGCCCCACATTCGAAGATATCCTCGGGGTATTGTAAGCGCATGTCGCATTTACCGGGGAGGTCTGGCTTTAAGAGCTAGGTTACCCGAACCCCCCTGCCATGTCTTGTATGATACCAAACAACCTCCACTAGCAGACACAAATTACAAGCGGGTGACATATCATGACCAGAGTGACACCCTGTGATGAAACAAGTCTATTATCTCCCCAAACAAACTTTAACTAAGAACAACAGTTCATTCATAAATTAGGAAGACTCAGCCCAATCGACCATATCCATGATATCCCCTACATCGTCCTTTACATAGCCAATCTTCAGCCTCATTTTCAATGGACTGCCCCTGTTCCCTGCAACCCTCATCATTTGGGTAGCCTCGGCGTCTGGATCAAGCTCTGAGTCACTTATGGTTTGCAACTGAAGCCTCATACTCCTCGGAACGGCTGCCTGGAGACTTACACTGGTGATACGGTCTGTAAAGGAGTTGTTCTTGAATCGGGCGATGATACTGATTATGCCATCGGCCGTACGTGCCAGCTGCAGGGTTATTTGAAGACCGTTCTTATTGTAAACCTGCGCCGCAACTGGAGCAGCGGTCGGAGCAACAGATGGGGCTGAGGTTGAGCCGAGTCCACCTAAGAGCGACGGTGCTGACTGTTGTGGGGCTGCAGCTGGTGCTGGTGAGGATGTTGCTGGGGCGTTGAATAGGTCCATGATACTGTTGAGATTTGATTGGGCTGATGGAGGTGGGGATGATGAATTGGAAGCCATAAGGTCGCCGCCAAGGATGCCGCTTAGCAATTCCATATTGCTCTGTGGGGCTCCGCTGAGGGGCGCGGTGGGCTCCGGTGGTTCGCCGCCCATGAGATCCAAAAGAGCTTCCTCATCGGACTGCTTCTTAGCGGTTTTCTTTCCTGCTCTCGCTTTCGGTGCCGTCTCCCGTTCAAATACTCTCGAGACTTCTTTAATGACTGGCGGCGGCATTTTCTCCAACACACCACGACGTATTTCGTCGTAGCCAAACATGTTACCGTACTCAACAGAGCGCTGCTGGATTTCAACATCTAAACTATCAGAATATGACTGGAGGATTCGGCGGATACGTTCGATTTGTGCAGCGCTGCTGATACGGGTGGTCAATTTCATTAGGGCGGTAATGATATACTCTTTTACGTTGGATGTAGCGTAGGCGCTCGATAGGATGGTTGAAAGGAGGTCGACAGTATCGGATTCCGATACCTTGACGACTAGTTCCTCTTCCTCGTATTGCCCACCCTTCAGCAATAAGTCACCGTACTCCCCTATGGTCCAAGCACCGGCAAGAGTAAGTGCCTCTTGTGTGATGTCAGCTTTGAGGGCAGAATAAAGCTTCTGCACACAGTAAGTTTGGAGCTCTGCAGAGTTAGCGATAAGACGGATAAAACTCGATAAAATATGCTCCTTGACGTAATTTCCGGCCTTAATCACACAAGGGTTAGTGCCACATTGCCCAACCCCCCTGCCACAAGAAAACATACCAACTTCAAAACCCTTAGAACAGTGTCAATATGCCACCTCTTTGTCGGTGCAAAACGCTCTGCAGCAATACAAATCTGGGTCGTCATTACAGGCTTAAACTCGTTGTTCGCGACCTCCAAGAACGCCAGTAACTCTCTTATCAACACCCTGATGTTACTCTCATTGATAAGTGTAAATGAGAGGTCTAAGGCTCGACGACGGATAGATATATCGGGATCCCGTAAGCAGTCCAAGATGGTGTTTCGATGTCTCTGCACTGCATTTGGCTCGACAGCGACAACTTTGATAAGAGTATTCAAAGCCACATAACGGATGTTGTTATCCTTGTTCGTCAAAAACTTCCCAAGGATATTGACGCCTAAGACACGCAATCCGCTGTCCGCCTCAATATCCAAAATGGTCAAGACAGCCTCATAAAGGATGGAGTTTCCAACATTCTTAGTGGAATCGGTGTTGGTAGCGACTTGGGCAAGAATATCGTTGATTTGCTCGCTGACCTGGGTATCGCCCTTTCCAAGGACCCTTAACAACCTTAGGATTTTAACCTGCAAGAACGGATCTGTTATGCCAGTAACGTCGTGCTCAGGTGCATACCCTGAGCTAGTCAAGCTTTTTAGTTGGCGAACAAGAACAGTTGTGAACTGTCTAAACTGGCTAACTAAATCCGGATCATGTTGGCAAAGATCTGTTACTAACGTCACTCCGCAGAGCAACACTCCATGGTTCCGATCCTGTAGCAGCAGTTTTGTTTTATCAATGAAGTGCTCCTGCAGATCCGGGACCTTGCGAATAATTCGCATGGCGCAAATGGCGGCTTTGCGACGAATGTACGGGTTGGCAGTTGATAAAAGATTTTCGACTTCTTGGAAAAGATCCCTAGCCATTTCCGTCGAGGCGATATTGCCAAGCGTGCATAATGCCAATCCTACCACGTATTGGTTGGAATGCTCCAGATCACTATTGAGAGGCTCCTATGATAAGCAAACAATCGAGCACGGCACGCAGAAGCGAAGCAAACGGCTTACAACAGACTTTTTCAAAGAGTTTGTGACAAGTGTCAAAACCTCCTGGTTCTCATCCAACAGTAACATGGTACCTAGGTAACCCAGTCGTTTATCCGCGAATCTCGGCGAGGCTAATAACTTCAGACACTCTATCTGTCCAAAATGTGTCCTCTCACCTAAGGTGAAGAGGTATAATAGCTTAGCCACATTATTTCTCCTGCAGTGGGTTCGATCCATCAGCAAACAGGACAATGATGGTGAAGTTAGCGGGTGACGAACCGGACATTGGAGTCCCCGGACTCCTCTCGAAATGAAGCTCTAATAGCAGCGCTCTCTTTTTGGATGACGCCTCTCTCGTCGTTCAGTGTTTTCGCACTCCGAACGGCTCGTATAAATTGCTTCACTATTTATGGTTAGCTCAAGGCGCCCATCTCGGGATATCTTTACATACAGGAACTCATTTTTGCGGGGCTCGAGGTCGGTGGGCGAGGTTGGTGGTTCAGGAGAGGTGCGGAGGGAAAAGAATTTTAGCTGACGAGACCACACCCGAGGGACAGGAAACGATAGGTCAACAAAAACGAGAGGAAAACAAGGAGGTAAAGATCCCTTTGGGGGGAATTTCTATATCTGGGTCACCGGAAGGTTGCTGTGGATGATAGGCGATAAACTACCGTAAACTGCCACGGAGGTAAGTTGTCTTGCTTGCTGCAGCGGTTAGTGGGGGGCTTATCCAGCCGCCCACCTTACATAATCCCTGCCATGTTCAAGTCCCCACGCCAAGACGTTGGATTCCAGCACCGTATGCCTCTCAAATATTCTCATCGGCCTGCGGTAAATTTAGACCAGTGATTTTACAAGTATACTTCATTTCTATCCTCTTAGGTGCTATTTCCATGAATGTAGTCAAGTAATAAGATATTGTGACAACAAAATCGTGTGCTATGATATTAACCCAACAAGACGCTTTACAACGCAAAGATGGTTAAAGAGGTACCTTTTTACAAGTTCCCCAATGCTTTGGCATGGCATAATACCGTACCGGTACAGTGCAAGCACGAGCACTAAAACTTCTTCCTGCCTCCAGGTTCCTTAAAAAATACTAGAACCCCCACCCAAATCATTGGGCAGGCCAGGATCACAAAAGATAAGATAGACAGAAAAAAACAAGATATGGAAAAACAGGAAAGAAGCAAGGGATACAAGCTATAAGAGATGTACCGCGCAAAAAAATAAAGGCGGCAGGGGAGCTAAAAGGCTCTGAACATAGTGGAGGGAGAATGTGGGAAATGAGCAGAGAAATATGAGCGTAAGAGAAAGGTTGTGCGCTACTCTAAAAGCTCCTCGACAAAGGTGTCTAGCAAGACTAACGAAAAGGCTCCCTTCCACTTCTCTAAGAAGTCCTTGTTTGAGTAAAGCCAACTCAAGCTTGCCTTAAACGATACCAGCTCAATTTTCCAACCCCTATCAAGACATCTCTCGACGACCTTGAAAAAGCCAGGACTGTACTCTCCTTGAGCTGCATCACCGCTGGCTAGCACGATAGTAGTTGGCGTGAAATCCAGAACACTCTCTAAAATTTTGAGATGAAGGATTTCATCGACGGCTTGCTCTACTTTCCGGGGGCGTCGTTTGTGTGCGCCCTCGGAACCCGAAGAGGAGGAGTATTTCGTATTCACCCGTTCCTTTTCTACTCTCTCAAGTAGACTGACTTCGTAGCCAAGAGAACGAGCTTCAAGTGCGGATACGGTTGTTGGTGAACTCCCGACATATACCCTCTTGGAAGATATCCGTCCCCTCTCGAGGATAAGAGATAAGCCATGGAAGGAAAATGCGGGCTGACGAATGGCTGCGCCGCGGGAATATCCCCTACGTTTCTTGATGCATTCGTAGAATCCGATCAGGATCTAGGGTTCAATCACGTAAGTTTTGAATAAAAACCGGATACAGGTGGGAAATACGTTAGAAGCATCGACAAAGACATGAATGTCAGTGTCCGAAGGGTCTTTCGCCCCTGACCGGAGACCTGGGCGAATAAGAAGACGGGAAGCTTGAGCGGGGAATAGTGAGAGTATCTTCTGTATTAGTTGCGCTTTCCTTTCAACCGAGGTCATCTGCGACCGAATCACGGGCCGCTTATCAAATGGATCCTCTAAACTGGCGTTTGTAACCGCACTTGGCATTGGTTGCTGGAAAACTGGTTGCAGGGGAGCTGGTGTTTCCATCCCCCTCAGCCTCACTACTGGTGGAGTTTCCTGGGTAACTGCATCGATCTTAAACGAACTTGAGTGGCGCGTTTTGCGCTTCCTTCTTGGCGATGGATGAATTTGGGTGGGGGGTGATGGGTCGTCCTCGTCAGTGGTAGTGCATGGCACAGGCGAGGACCCTAGAAAATCCCAGAGGGGGGTAAAGTCACCAAGGGATCGGTGAGGAGTAGTCCCGCTAATTTTTTCGGGATTGATGACTAGAGGGTTGCTGTTTTGATTCGTAGCCAGGGCATCATTGAGAGCTATGACAGCGGAGAAATCGAATATGGCGGTAGCTGTGTCTGCCATGTGAGCTGAATGAGTCTTTCGCTGTTTAATTGTGTGTTTGTTGTTCGGACACGATATCTTTTTTATGAGGAGTTCGAGTCGGGAGGGCGTGGGCGAACCGGGAAGACGGACATGGGTGTGGATAGTATTTTCGAGACTGGAGGAGGGTTCGTTTACTAGGGCGATAGAGGGGGAGAGGGAAGGGGGGGGGGACGAGAGGGAAGGGGATGCTAAATAGGTCGCAAGATAACTGAGAGTTAAGAAGCTAGGCTGCCAACATGGGAGGTGTGGACCGTGTAGGGGATTGTTGGTGGGTTTGAGTGAAGTGCTGTAGGAGGAGTTGCGAGGGACAAGAGAAAGAGGTGCAAAGGGAATGGCCAAACAATCACTCACACGTTGGTTCCCGATCTGGGCGTCCTCGATTTCCAAATTTGTGACTCACTTCACCCTTTGTCGAGGTAAATCCTGTACCGACCGCCTTGCTGGGGGGTGTCTCTGTGCAGTAGTGCCGGTATCTACCTGCATCAAAAATATTTGTGCTCGACGGTACGCTGAGCGTGCCCTCCATTACCCGCCCAAGCGATAAGCTATTGGCGATAAGCCCAGATATCAGACAGGGGTGCGCCCCCTCAGCCATCTATCAGACTTCAGTCACGGTGGACTACCACAGAAATAAGTCAGATCGGCCAATCCTCTGGATCTATGGTATGATACTATAGACTACATAGATCGCCGTTACCCTTGTCCCGCTTCCTTTCTGCACTTCTTTACCACCATTCCTTCTTCCCTCCCGCCCAATACCTTACCCGTACCATATCGCACCACGCTTTTCAGCACATTCCCATCGACGCTCGCTCAGCCATGGCCATCGACTCACCCGACCAAACGCATTCTCAACCGGCTACACCGCTAGCAGTTATACTGCCCACTGGGCCCTTAGAGCATGTAGTACCCACATTGCTCGTCCCCCCTTCCCCGGTCCGCACCACAACCCTAACAATCCCTGTTTCCTGCCCAACCCAGCCGACCCCTCCCAAACCCACACATCCAGAAAAGCCACTCCTCCCCCGGGATAGTTTGAGCCGTCGAGAAGCTCTTCTTCGTGGTAATGTAGGGTCGCGTCGTCGTCAACGATGGGAAAACGACCGTTTGTTATCGAATCCCCATGCAATCCCACCCACCACGTTAGATTGGGAAGTACGTCCTCTCCATCCTCGCCGCCACGTCCCGTATGAATTCGCCTCGCTTTACGATCACCCCAAATTCCTCCATAAAGGGAACGCTGCCGCAAACCACCAGGTAGCCGAGAAGATGCCAAGGGAACTGAAGGTGCGGATGAAGAAGACTCGGGGCGCCGTTGGACTACTTAAATCGCTGGAAGAGGAAGTGAGGAAGTTTGTCCTTGGAGAGCAGGAAGAGGAGAAGGCTAGAGAAGAGGGAGGGGAGGGCGATCCAGTGGACGATGAATCAGACGAAGAAATTGTGTTCATCAGCAAGCGGGCCAAGCAACTCCAACTCAAGAGTGAGAAGGTCTTGTTTGAGAGCTCAGTCAGCGATCCTGGGGCTTCATTCGGGTTCGTTTCCTCCCTCGAGAATTTTCCCCCATTAGAGCTATGATAACCCAAAAATTAGACGCTGGCTGGTCCACTCAATCGCAGCGTACTATGGTCTCAAAAGCTGGAGCATCACCACTGGTAACCCAGCGAAGAGGATTGCCTATGTAGGGCTCAAGAAGGATCCTAAGAACTCCGCCCTGGCTGTCAAGGGGATGCCAAAACCATTATGGTTGATGCTCTAATCATCTAGCTGCGGTTTCTTTTCATATTATCATACATGGTGTTGGAGGGTCACCAGCCTAAACGCTGGTCCGGCCAACGCGGTAATTGGGTGCACATGTTCTCTGCCACTCACCCATTGTAGTTAGATATTCCTGTGATACTTACATTACGCTTTTACACAAGGCTGAAAGTTATGATACCATACCGAAATGTATTCGAGTAGGTGACCGTGCAGGGCTACTCTGACTGCAATACCCCAGGGTAACTAAAAGCACTTTACCATACATTAGGGTAGGGTAACACAGCGGAACCTTACATCATGGTATGACATGATACCATGGAAGCCATATTATGCACTCGTACCCGGTTACCAGTCATGTTTACGATAACGGCACATAATAGGGAGTTCTGTGATTTGTTTTACTGGTATCATACCATATCTCTTTATCGTGTATATAATTCTGGTAGTGGGGTTTCCTCATAAGAGCAACCAAGCTCGGCCTCCTGTAGGCAATGACAATCAAGAGGTCCCCCCGTCTCCTTGTCTCTCGTCAATTGTCCTGACCAGCTGTGCCTCGCCCCTTACCAACAACGAACCGATGTCCGATATTTATGCCGGTAGTATCATACCGTCCTGTGGGGCACCCAGCCTTGCCACACAACCGCACGGTCATAAGCAGCGGATAGCAACCGCGTATTATTTCTCTAGACCGCAGTCTCAACAGAACGCACTCCCAGAACCCTGGAGGAACATCAATCATATTCGAGGACTCACTTGAATCGATAAGACAATCAAGTTCGCCATCGCCGCATCATCAATGAGGACGAGGCCTCCCACGCCTTGTAAGAGTCATGAAAAGGTCCAGTGAAAACCCAATAAGGTAATCTCCGGGGTTAGGGTTGTGGCTCGAATGGTCTAGCATAACCGCTCGTTCTACGAGTAGGCAATGTCAAAACTGTGGAAATAACACCGTTTCGATTTTCGGGGAACCGATTGGACGCCCGTCGAAATTTCTTCGGCCCACAAGTTAATATCATAATATTATCTCGGAAAAAAAAATAGGTCCTAGGCCCTACTCAGCATGCCGCGAATATCGCGATATCTCCACTTTGATTGCATTCCCCATGATAAATATATATCTAAACATGGCGCTGTTCCGCTTGCTACGAATATAAAAGATATTGTGATATTATACCGGACATCTGTCGGGATATCGTCTGGTGTTAAGCTGTTAGAAACATCGATTGTTATTAACGGGGGGATTCTGTTCCCCAGTTCTTGCTCTGGTGGGCATCGTACTGCGCAGTACGGTACGAGTACAGCCGGATTCGCCAAGTTCTCATCCTTCCAAGTACCCGCTGCCTTTGGAAACGCTTTGCCAACCCTCTCTCTCATTATTCGGCGAAACAGATTGTGTTAAAATCTCGCAGTATCCCTAGAGAAATATCTAGGAACAGTCAATTAAAAAGCTTTTCTTGTTCTCATCTTGTTGGTTGGCACAGTTCACGAGATACAAAAGAGGGTTATGTGAACTTTCCGAATGCGGCTGTACGAGTACTGTACTCCGCCACTCTTCCTGTGGCGCAATATCATCGTATCACTTCCGCCGAACAGAAACCACCCGCCGTGCCTTCTTCGCCCATTAGTCATGACCATCGGTACCCGTATTTGGGGGGAAAAAAAGATTCTGCTAAAGCCGCCGCTATCGTTAAGGATTTACTGTAAACAGAGTAGTAATTACTATAACGTGAAAAAATCATGACCGTTTCCTTGAAGCTGTTGAATTACTGCCCACCGCACCTGGCAAGCCTTCGTAGACCAGATTTGAGAGTTTACTCATGTTACCCAGCTACTCTTACAGTACTAAACGATCAAAGGAATCGACAAATAAAATTTAATGGTTAGTAAGAACTGGCTTTCCAGAAAACCCCGGAGACCCCCCCCCAGCGAGGATAATCATACAAGCCATCCCCATGCTCTCCATAGGGGCTCTGAGGAATAGTCTATGATCCGAGAGATATTATTGTCCGGTCTTGGGTGATGATTCTAGAGGCCCAATCAAACCTTCGGCGGGGTAGCCTACAGTATGACTGTGATGGTGCGAGTGGCCTTAAAGTGGGTCCTAAAAACAAGCAAAATGCGGCAACCAATTCACAGCCAACAACTAATACCCGTGGGAGAAACCGAGGGAGTAGAGAGAGCCGCAAGTAGGATATACATTGGGGAGTGTTTTCCTGTTAAATTAAGCGCCACTAGGAAACCGAACTCAAAGTTAAAACACAGCTCTGGATTAGGGTGAAACAAGTGATTCATTCTACCTAGAGCCATGCTGGGAGGTACTGTTGAGAATTACTCCTCTGAGTTGATGTGTCGCGAGAGAAGTATCTAGGCTTCCTACTCACTATTGCGTATGCTGGGTTGTACTGGGTGGTACGTGGAAGTGTGTATTCCGTATCACTAGTCATGTGACTAGGTTTGGGCATGACTATATACCATTCTTGTTTCGCTTAGCTAGCTGTAAGACTTAATCAACAATCTTCTGCTGCACAACAAAAACGTCCAATTCGTAACAGGTTATGAGCCCGGTCTGCTACTTTGATTCCTCTATGAAATAAGAAAATTTCTTTCTCTTTTCAAATCCTTCCTTTTCAAAAGTTTCTCCATCTTATTTATTCTTCCATACCTTTTTTCCTCCGCATACCCACTCTACACTTTCACTCTGCACTCCTGCTCCGCATAGCAAACAACCTACACCATGTCTTCTGCCTCAAGCACCTTCACCAATCTTGAAAAGGGGACTTACCGGTGTAAATACGGCGAGACAGCTAAGCTCAACCACGTAAACTATAGCCAATGGCGTCATGATATAGAGTTCTTCCTACAGGCTGAGCAGGCCTTGTCGATTGTTTTGGGAGAGGAAGTTCACCCACAAGGGCCAAACATCAATTCTAATGACTTTGACAAGTGGGCTGGCATTGGTGCAGCCATTATCCATGCCTCTTGTGAGTCCTCAGTCAAGGCCTATCTCCATGGCTTGAGGGACCCACATGCAATATGGGAGGAGTTGAAGATGAAACTTGACACTGCAAACTCCTGTGCAGGGAGAACTGCAATTCTACGGAAGTTCAACCAACTACGCCCTGCTCCAGAATCCTCGGTTGGCGACTATATCACTCAGCTCCTTGAGTGTAGCAAAGAGCTTAGTGGAACCGAGTAGGCAATTCCAAAAGAAACCTTTATCAGCCATCTCTTAACAACCCTACCGAAGTCTTTCGACTCAATAATCGATATAATCACCCATCAACCAGAAACAGAACAAACATCTGACCGCATAATCTCCACGCTTATTGAATGGGAGGCTGCAAGTAATACTCGAAAGAGCGAAACTGAATCGACAAAGACGAGTTCCCCCGCTACCGCTTTAATTGTCTATACTAGCAGGGGATCTCGAGGTAGAGGTAGCTTGACATCAAGGAGTACCTCCTATCGCTCTCGTCCACAAGGTCGTCCTTCCTTCCATCCTTCTACTTATAATTGTAGGGGAGGTCCTGCTTCTAGCCCTACTTGTTGGTATTGCCAACATCTAGGTCATCGGCAGGATGACTATAATCTCCGTAAGCGAGCAGAGGAGGCAAAGAGGGAGAGGGGTGGTGTAAGATCTGGTGTAAATGGGAGACGAGAGGGAGATGAGGCCGGAGCTGCATTTGCCTCTGTCAAAGCACTTGCTGGCTTTGTAGTCAAGAGAAGTGGTACAACAGGTTCGGATTTCAGAACTTGGATTGTTGACTCTGGAGCCAGCCATCACCTATGCTGTGACCATTTGGCCTTCTACACTCTAAAGCGACTTCCAAAACCAATCATAGTCTACCTCGGTGATAGTTCACCAGTCTTCGCTACCGGCTCTGGGAATATCACGATCGCTCTCTCTAGCTTGAGTATTACCATCCATACTCTCTATGTTCTTGACCTAACCTACAATTTATTGTCAGTTAGTTGTCTTTCAACAGAGAGCCAAATAAGCTTCCGTAATGGTTCTTGCTTTATTAAGCATAAGTGCTCTGCCGAAGAACAGCTTGCTGCCCTACAAGATGGACTCTATCACGTCACGGTGGGAGAAGTGAGAGATAGAGCTTCTCTGTTGGCTACTGCACTTGCCACTTCCTTACCTAGTTTTACTCTGTGGCACCAGCGTTTGGCTCACTTGAATAATAAGTCTCTTTCAGCTTTGATACCTGAAGAAGCCTATCAGAGAAATGAGACAAACCCAGAAACTCTCTGTCAGGTATGCGTTAAGGCGAAGCATACTCAGAGGTTTGAGAGAAAACCGCAACCAAGAGCCACAAAGCCTTTTGAGCTCTTGCACTCGGACTTGTGTGGTCCAATCCACCCTCCATCTAAGTCAGGTTTTTGCTACTTCATCCTGTATATTGAGGACTTTACAAGAGTTACCTGCATTTTCTTCTTGCGGACGAAGTCCTCTACAGAAGTTGTTTCTGTTTTCCAAAGTCTACAAGCTAGGATTGAAAAAGAGTATCCTAGTTGGCAAATCACTTGCTTCAGGTGTGACAATGGCTGAGGAGAGTTTGATAACTCTTTGTTTCGCAGGATTTTACGAGTTGGTGGCATCTCCTTTGAGCCGAGTCCTCCTTATACTCAGTCTAAAAATGGGGTATCTGAGCGTATGATAAGAACGATTGTCACGAAGGCTCATGCAATGCTGATAGATTCTAAATTGGATGATGACTTCTGGGCTGAGGCAGTTAGTACTGCGGTCTATCTTCATACGCGTACTCCCTCACAGTCTATTGACAGAGTAACTCCTTATGAGAAGTTAAAGGGCAAGAAGCTGGAGTTGGGGCACTTGAGAAGATTTGGATGTGCTGCCTACAAGTTTATCCCTAAAGAGCTGAGAAAAGAGAAGTTTTCAGAGCGATCAAAGGAGTGTATCTTCTTGGGCTACGTACATGATACTAGCAAGATTTGGAGACTGTGGGATCCACAGAGTAGCCGTGTGATTGAGGCTTCAGATATTGTATTTGATGAGCTCCGAGTCTTGGGAACTCGTGATGAGCATGAAAGTGAGGTTGAGATTCTACGCTCTTGTATATCAGAGGATTTACTCCCTGAGGAGGACTCAGAGGTGTCAAGCCCACCTGGAGTACTGTTGAGCATGCAGGCACTGCCAGCTCTGGAAGAGGTTG